CTCTCTCTCTCTCTCTCTCTCTTCCTCTCTCTCTCTCTCCCACTTTCACCTAGCACAGACATAACCAAACCTACCAGCGAGGAGTACGTGAACCCGATGATCTCTAAGTAGCCGTCGTCATGAGTCTGGGGTTCAAACCCCACAGCATTCGGGTTCCCCCAGGGTAGAGTACCACTGGCATACCTGCACACGAGGAGAAATAATTTTTGTTTATTAGATACAGTGTACTTGGAAAGAATCCAACATCAAATTTCTTTATCCGCTTCTGAGTCAAATCAAATCATATTCGTATTATATGCACTTCTCTCTCAATTTGCTAATCCTTTAGGCATCAACTACAGCACAGAAAAGCCTGAGTGTTACGTCCCTTTTAACAAAGAAACGATAAAATTTTCAAACTTCTTGACAAAGAACCACACCAGTACAGAAAGTTACTCACCTTGGAATGTTCAGTATAAGAAGGCAATGGAGTTTCATGTCTTGGATCTTTGGAGTCAGATCCAGACCATCACACTGTGGAATAAAGTAAAAACATTATTTAACTTTGGACCCATTGTATCTCAAAACAGTGGATTAAAGTTAAAGTCATAGGACCTACCAGTGGTACTCTCAAGCCTCTCGCTGAAACGAAGTAAACTGACAAGATTTCGACCACTTGAATCTATACCACCCAAAACACGAACCCACAACGGATTCATACTGTATGTGACGTAGATAAAGGGTAAAACTTGAGGAACCCCCCCCCCCAAAAAAAAAAAAACCCAACTCCCCCAGATTACAATGAATAACGGTTAAGCAGATCAAAAGAACAAGCATACCTCTAGCTTTATTTGTTCAGCAAATCCTTTCCAACTTCTCTTCAGCATATCTCGACCTCCAGCCTGCAGATCAAAGATATGGACACATGCTATAATATGATATGATATGATGTGACGCGACATGACATGATACGATATAATATGATAAAACATGATATGATATGATATGGTTTTCTGTTATGTTATGTTCAATAATACCATTGGTCATTCATTGACGAAGAAAAGCATAATATTTAAACAAAATAATCAGAAGACATATATAAACAATAGAAGGAAAGAAAAGAAGCAAGACCAATCAGACACATCTTCCAATCACTTCTAAGTGCGCATGTGAGTGTATGTATTTTGGAAGAGAAATGGTTGGGTTTTTTTCATTTTTTGTCAGATGACAAACCACGATAACAGATGTCTGTCTCTGTTTAGGCATTTGAAATAGAAGAAACAAAAAAGAAAGGGAAGAGTCCCTAGCAAGACATTTGTCGCGAAATGAGTAATGAAATAAAAACAAAACAGGATATAAATCTACTCACCCCTGCATAAAACATTTTGTTCCTGAATCTACTGTTGAATTTCTCGGGGTTCGCTTCTGAAAAAGCAAGAAGGACAAAAAAATTAACCTTGCGTCACAACACAATAGCCGAGAAAAAGTTTTGGTCTTTGTTTTTGAAAGAGTTTAACAGCACTTGCAGCACAATAAGGTCATATATGTGCCAAAGATAAAAGGTGTAACGAGAGAAGAATAAACACAGAAAAAGGAGCAGGAGGTGCGATAAGATCGACAGATTTTTTAGAGAGGAAAACAGGAACAAAATACACCAGAGAACCCACCAAACACCCACTTCATTAGAGTTTAACGACACTTGAATCACAATAAGATCATATAAGTGAAATTCTGAACGAAAAGAACAACAATGAGAAGTAAAATAGCACACTATCTTACATCTTAAACATTAAAGAAACATGGAGAGCTCTCACTTCTATAGAATAATCATAAAATGGTTCAGTCATCACATTACAGTCAAAAGATAAGGTAAGATAAGATAAATCTTTATTGTCCAAATGTAATCACCCTGCCTTGGTATTTCACCACACACGTATATTTCAATGTTCTTAAACACAGAGAATTGGTACCTCTATAAATATTTAAATCCTTAGTGATTAGGCAGGGTTATCATGCTTTCCGAAGGAGGTGCCTAATCATAGACAACTTGTGCCTCTACAAATAATAACTGACCCTTTAGTTCATTAACATTCTTAGTCTGAAGGATGATGATGATGAGGAGGAGGAAGAGGAGGAGGAGGAGGAGGAGGAGGAGGAGGAGGATGAGAAGGAGGAGGATCAGAAGGAGGAGGAGGAGGAGGAGGAGGAGGAGGATTGCAGTCTAGTAACATTCTTATGTCTTTATAAGGAGGAAAAAGAGGAGGAGGAAGATGATGAGAATGAAGAAGGGGAGGAGTAGGAGTAAGAGTAGAAGTAGGAGTAGGGGTAGGACGAGTAGGAGTAGGGGTAGAAGGAGTAGGAAGGGGATCGGGAGAAGGCTCAGGAAAAAGAGGAGGAGGTCACTGAGGTGACTGACCTCTAGACTCGTGGAACTCGAGCGCCACATGGGCGTCGGCCCCCAGGCTGAAGTAGTTGTTGAAGACCTCCAGGGGCAGGCGGTCCACGGTCCCTTCCTCGGGCGGGTCCACCTCTGAGCTCTCGTTGCTGGTCACCTCAATGTTCCACCTAGTGGGAGGAAAACAAATAACTTATGATACAGATTTTAGGCCCTCAGTGTTCCATCTAAAGGGAGAAAAGACATATAATGTTATGGTATGGGTTTCACGCCAATTTCAGCACTGAGGGGCCACCTCAATGTTCCATATACTGGGAGAAAAGGACATACATATGATATGGGTTTTAAGCGGATTTCAACACGATAAGGCACCTAAATGTTACACATAATGGCATAAAAGACATATAATAATATGCTTTGGGTTTTAGACCCATTAAAACATACGGTCACCTTAACTCATTGGGGACAAATATTCTGGTCATTTGACAATGCATGAAGAAGTGTTGTTTTGGGGCACCTTCGTTATTCACACAGGTTTTTTGGGTTTTGTGCTCTTTGATTGAAACTTTAAAGGATATGCAAGAGTGTGCATACTATAAAACATAATGCAAATTCTTATTTCTGATTTGTGTATGATGGCTCGAAGAGTGCTGAAACGTTGTCTTTGCCTTGCTGCTAATCCGACGTACATGTCAGCCATGTCCTCAGAGAGTTAATGTTTCGCCTTGAGGGTGAAAACAATATTTTCTTTTTCAATGTACGTGTTTTACACCCCTGTTGACACAATTATTATTTAGATATAATCTTAGGGGGGGGGGAGTCTTCGACCCTGACAGTCAGGGGCAACCTGCGTGCTGAGAGGGATAAAGCAGGTTAGCACAAAAACGCAGGTCGTCTGCTTGCAATGATGAAGCGCCCAAGTGTTATTCTAATGTAAGTATTTTACACCCCCACTGGCACAACTCATGGGTGGGTTTCCATACTGCCAGTCAGGGCCCAACCAGGTTGACAGGGATACAATGCCCCAGAAAAAACCCAGAGTTTTTCGTTTTAGTAAGAGTTTTACGGCACTTGCAACCCAATAAGGTCATATAAGTGCCGAAGAACAGATGTGTTACATGAGAGTAACATAAAAGTAACAAAAAAGAAGAAGGAGAGATAAGGATGATAGATGTTTGATAGGAAAGAAGGAGCAAACCACATCGAAGCATCAGCCAACTACCCACAGACAGAGTTTCTCGATATAATAATAATAATAATTGCATTTATATAGCGCATGTCCATGTTCAAGAGCATGCTCTATGCGCTTTACAACTATTATTACCCCAGCAGACCCTCTGAGAACACTCAGAAACATTCTCGGCTTCCACGGAAGCATACAGTGCAAGCAGCAGATTTCACGCGCTCAAACACTATCAAACTGACAAGATCGTTCACTGTCTATAGCCGGGTACCCATTTCCACCTGGGTGAAGTGAGGAAAATTCATGCAAAGTGCCTTTCCCAAGGACACAACGTCGGGCCTCTGACGGGATTCGAACCCACGACCTTACGAATCTAAATTCTTCCAACATCGAAATCGAACTCAGATCTTCTGCATGCTATGGCGAAGCCATCTACAACACTATGGTAAAATTACTCTGTAACTCTTGATATTTTGGCTCCTTGCATGAGATAAAACTTGACGAGCAAAGCTCAAAGGACGACATAGGATCGGAAAAGTGAAACTGAAATTCTCACCTGTCTAGCTGGACGACCTGTCCATCTTCGATGTTGCATAAGATTTTAGATATTGGCTCATCTGTATAACCCTGGAAGGAGCAAAGAGAAGTGGGATTTTTACTTCAGTTTTATTTAAGGGTTCTACACACTCGCAACACAATAAGGTCACATAAGTGCCATAGATTAGAGGTGTTACAAGAGGGTACAAACGCAAAAAAAAGAACTAGGAGAGATAAAGACGACAGATGTTCGATGAGAAAGAAGGAGCAGACCACACCAGAGCAACTGCCAACCACTCTCAAAGTGTGTGTGTGTGTGTGTGTGACTCTGTGTGTGAGTGTGAGAGACAGACAGACAGACAGACAGACAGACAAATATACAAACAAACAGACATACAGACACACAAACAAACAAGCAAACAAACAAACAAACAAACAATCAAACAAACACACAGACACACAGGCAAACAAACAAACAAACACACAGACAGACAAACAGACAAACAAACAAACAAACAAACAAACATACAAAACAAACAAACAAACAAACAAACAAACAAACACAGACAGACAAGTATCCCACAGAGCAGGTTACACGTACCCCTCCCCAGTTGAGCGTCCTGGCTAAGTCATTCCCTGTGCCAACAGGTAAGATGCCCACAGGGGCGGGCGGGGTCATCCCTAGACTGTCCATGGTCGCCAGGATCCAGCCCACTGTCCCGTCACCTCCAGCCGCCAGGATTCTCAGATTAGGCACTTTTTTGTACATCTCCAGCCTGTATATACATTGATAACGATAACTACAATAATTACAACAGCAATGTTTTAAAATACCAATATTATTATGATAAACAGTGATAACAATAATAAAAATAATAATATTAGAGATAATATTAATAGCAAATAAAATCTTAACAATAAACAATAATACATATGACAATCATTTTTTAGAATTTTTGTAATATTTTTTTTTTATTGCTACACATTTTACCTTTTTGATGGCCCTCGCAACTGCATAAGTCATATGAGTGAGCGGGTGACAATTATGATAATAATGAATATGACAAATAATAATAATGATAATAAATGACAATTTTGAAGAAGACATAAACAACCACTCACCCGTACAAACAACAACCACTCACCCGTACAAACAACAACGACTCACCCGTACAAACAACAACCACTCACCCGTCAACCACTCCCCCGTATATACAACAACCACTCACCCGTCAACCACTCACCCGTACATACAACAACCACTCATCCGTCAACCACTCACCCGTACATACAACAACCACTCACCCATACAAACAACAACGACTCACCCATACAAACAACAACGACTCACCCGTACATACAACAACAACTCACCCATACAAACAACAACGACTCACCCGTACAAACAACAACCATTCACCCGTACAAACAACAACCACTCACCCGTCAACCACTCACCCGTACAAACAACAACCACTCACCCGTATTTGGGGCCACCTTGCGACAGGTCAAATACCTGCCTGGGGTTGAGCAGCCAACAGAATTTGTGGAAGAGCTTGGCGCCCTGGTTCCCTCCACTCTTGGGGTTGATGAACACGATGACCGGCTTGATGAGGGGCGAGGGAATGGGTTTCAGGATGAACGGCCGGTTGTCCTCTTTGCTGCGCCGCTTTTTCACCGAGGCTTTGCGCTTCTTGCTGGCTCGTAAGGATGACTTGAAGGAACCCTATCAGGAGAAATTGTAAGGATGATTTAAAGGAATCGTAACTATAGGAGTTGTAAGGATGATTTGAAGGAACCCTATCAGGAGAGGAGAAATTGTAAGGATGATTTGAAGGAACCCTATCAGGAGAATTTGTAAGGATGATTTAGAGGAACCCTATCAGGACAGAAGAAATTGTAAGGATGATTTAGAGGAACCCTATCAGGACAGAAGCAATTGTAAGGATGATTTAAAGGAACCCTATCAGGACAGAAGAAATTGTAAGGATGATTTAGAGGAACCTTATCAGGACAGAAGAAATTGTAAGGATGGTTTAAAGGAATCGTAACTGTAGGACTTGTAAGGATGGTTTAAAAGAACCATAATTATAGACATAGTAGGATAGTTTAAAGAAATTAATTTAACTATGATTTGAAGGAACCCTAAGAGGAGAAATCATAAAGATGGTTAAAGTTAAAGAAACCATAACTACAGAAATCATAAGGATGATTTGAAGAGACTTAACTAAAGAAATCATTAGGATGATCTGAAGAACTGCAATTATAGCAATCGTAAAGATGACTTGAAGAACTGTAACTGGAGATATCAAAAGAATGATTTGAAAAACTTTAAAGATTTTGTAAGGAGCCCTATCAGGAGAAATCATAAGGATGATTTGAAGGCAGTATAACTATAGAACTTGTAAGGATGGTTTAAAGGAACAGTACCAATAAAAATCGATAGGATGGGTTGAAGGAACCCAATGAGAAGAAATCATGAGGATCATTTAAAGGAACCGTAACTACAGAAATTGTAAGGATGGTTTAAAGGAAAGGAACATTAACTGTAGAAATTGTAATGACGATTTGAAGAACCTGAACTAGAGAAATCTTCAGGTCCGAGTGAGCTAAAATAAGGTGAGCGCACCTTGCGGGGTAGCTTGATGATCCAGGACGGGGGGACGATGATGCTGGCGTGTATGCCCAGGGTACACTGCTCCTCTATCTGCTGCATCATGAAGCAGGTGGTCTTGTTGTGGTAGGCCGACTTACACCACGAACAGCTGATTGCAATGATATCCTGGAAGGGTGGGAGAGGGGGGGAGGGACGGGAAGGATGATGGGGGTGGTGCAAAGTGAACACATTATTTGAAAATCTCTATTTTCAGCAATTTTGTTTGTTTGAGTAAAGAAAGCATAAACACAGCTTCCATCATTTAGTGCAAGGGGGGAAAAAAGCATGAATGATAGACAAAACAACAGTGAACCCACGCCATGTATTCTGATAAGTTTTTTTTTCCTTTTAAGTAGGTGATTTAATGCCCCATAGACAAGATTTAGATCATTTAAGAAGCAGGTTTCCAACTCTGCCTGTCGAGACCAAACCGGGCTAAAAGGGATATAACATCCCAGCAGAAAGGCCAAGGAACTCAATACAAATTTTCTCCTCATTCGAAAATCGAATTCGGGTCTCCAGTGTGTGTCAGCAAAAAGACTAACTGCAACACCACAGGCTCCTGTGATCATTGTCTAATAATACGACACAAATCACTGCACAGCCTCCCTTCAGTTCCCTTGCAAGCCTATAATGTGATAGTTTTCATCCTCGCTTTCTGCGTGCACAAAGCATAATATCATAAAGTATCGTATAGACACCATGGAATAATATCAGGAGGCGAGCCAAAGATAGCAAAAGGTGGAAAGGGTTTATTCCTGGCTTACATACCCTGTTGCAGGGGGCGTTAGTTTTAGTAAAAGTTTTACGGCACTTGCAACTCATATAAGTGCCGGAGATTAGAGGTGTTACAAGAGAGTAACAAACACAAAAAAAAAGAAGGAGAAAAGATCAAGATGGAGGTTGTCTTATCAGGAAAGAAGTAGCAAACCACTTCAGAGCACCCACCAACCACGCACCATGCAGGGAGAGAAAGACATTAACGATGATGGTGACGTTAAGGATTTAATTCCACTTTTAACATTGCAAGGTTGCTCAAGAGGCAGCACTTCCAAATCGGACGTGCATCCCCTATTTCACAGAGTCAAGTACACAGAGTGCCTTAACAACCTCCCAAAACAGACCACCCTCCTATAACACAACGTCTTAGATATTTCCTATTCATAACATAGAAAATACATACCTTATTCTGGAATGAAAACCTTTGTTGGAAGGACTGAAATAAAAAATAAAGTAAAACAAGGATAAGTTGTAATTGGTAAAAAATGCACAATGAGAAGACAGAAGACCTGATAAACGAGAATGGAAATAATTTTTACCTATTGGCAAATTGCCTTTCTACAAACTAATTCAACATTCACTACAAAATAATCTGTAAAATGAATTTGCAAACAGTGCTTTGAGGTGCATAGATAATCTTATAAACACGCTAAATTTTAATGTTTCTCACCGTATCAACGTCATAAACACAATGAACATAAATATTTACACCTAAAGCTTGATATAACCATAAGAATGCATGCATCTTCATTTACACATTTACACTTTTCTTATGGTTGCTTTTAGTCATAATTTAATAAAAATCATCACAGTTTCGATGATGGACAAAAAAAATTAAACAGAATACAAAAAATGCAACAATACAAATACAACAACAACAGCAACAACAACAACAACAAAACTATAACCAGCAAGCCATTCACTTAAGTCGAAATTTTGATAATTGTCGATTTCTACACTCTCCCAAAGCTCTATCAAAGATATACCTTTCAACATCACTAAAATACAGTCTAATGCTGAGATCAAGGCTTACAAATCGTTTATTTTTCATGATTCCGGATAGGAAGAACACAACAAAAACTAACTGTTTTTCTTATTTCTTTGGGTGTTTTGTTTTGTTTTGAGTTTGTTTTTACTTTTGTCTCTGGTGTAAAAAGTACGCAAACTGACTAGAGAGGATTGCTTGCGACAGCGACGAAAGATCTCAACCACCAGCTGATCCACTATAACTGACCTTTCCGCACTGCTTGCATTTTCCCTCCTGTCGTCTGCGGTGTACCCAGTGGTGTCGCATTGACGTTTGCTGCAACAACAGTGACACATCAGTACTATTGTTCAATGTCGGTGTCATACAATGGACTGAGGTAGGTGTGGCGGGAGGAAAAAGGCCGGGGATGGAGCGTAGCGAAGAGTGGAAGAGTGAAAGAAGATGGGAGGGAGGAAAGACGAAAAGGTGATAAGGTGGAAGAGTGAGAGAGAGGAGGAGGAGGAAAGAGGGAAAGTGGGCAGGGTGAACGAAGGAGAAAAGGCAAGGGTAAGAGGGGGGGGGGTGTCAGTCTTTTCGTGATGTATACTGCCCAAGAAAGAATTTCAAACGAATGAACAATCATCAGACATCAAAAGTGAGAACTGAAAACAGAAAGGTAGACTACTCCGGTGGGGGTTCGATAATTGTAAAATAAATGAGAAACAATTATTTTATTTCCGTAACCTTCACAACAAACAAACAAAAAAAACCTTTTAGTTTTGGTTGTAGCGAAGTCATCTCCAGTTGTAGTAAGAGCTTTTTACGACACTTGCAACAGAATAACGTCATATAAGTGCCGAATATTAGAAGTATTACCAAAGACTAACAAACACAAAAAGGAGGGAGGGATAAAGATGATTTAAAATAATAATATTATTATCTTCAAGGCTTTTTTTTTTCAAAAACAAATACAATCTTTTAACTCATTTGATGACGACGGTGACAACCACGAAGAACAAAAAACAATAAAGGGAGGCAATCACACAATGTTCTCCAACTCTTATTGAAGGTGGTTCTCGTTCTTACCTCCCTGTAGTTTCTGACTCCTGCTTCTCGGAATGTTGGTTTGCACTTGAGGTTTTTCTAAGGGAAGACGTATAAAATTAATTTGGTCAGCAAACGAAAAGCCCGTTTGGAGTAAAGTGAAGCACAACAACACAATAACAATCATATATACCCGGTAGTGCAGCGAATAAGCAAGACAGATAGACGGAATCAGCAGAAGGAGAGAAAAGAAGTAGGACGTACCATTGGCGTCTTCGAACTGCCCCATAGAGGAAATTCCGAAAACAATATACTATGTTACTTTTTCGTTGAGTATTCTAAGAATTAAGAGGCAGGATAGAATAAGAAATGAAGAGCTGTGGGGAAGGACAGGACAAAAGGTAATGTAAGTAGAAATAGGACTAAAAAAGTGGCGTTGGATGGGACACACCTTCAGAAAGCCCAGCGGTAACATCACAAGACAGTCACTGCAGTGGAACCCACAGGGACCACGAGGCAGGGCTAGGCCACGGAAACATGGAGGATATTCGTGGAAAGACACATGAGAGAGATGAAGCTATCTTGGAACGAGCTTGGAAGGATGGCCCAGGACAGAAATAAATGGAAGGAGCTTGTATGTGGCAAGGGTTAAAGGCATTGTCGTTCAGTTGCGTTTGGAATTTCTAAGCCGTAGCAAGCTGTTTGCAATCATTTAAAATACAAAAAAAAACCCACAGATCTTGACGCATTTTCAGTTTAGTAGAGGTTTTACGGCGCTCGCAACTGTATAAGGTCATATGAGCGCCAAG